CTTAAACCCCAAGCCCGAGACCCCAAGCCCTAAAAATTCTAGATCCATTTAAAATAGCCCTTATGTAAGCGCCCTTGAGAAACCATTCAAAAGCCATGTTTTTGTTGCTAGGATGCCCAGTAGTACCCTTATTCCCTTTTTGTAGTCCTAGGTTCCTTATAAAGTTACCCAATGCCAATAAGAGGGGCCTTTTTATTCTTAGGTTACTGGGTCATGTACCCTTATAGTAGATACTTAGGCCTTAAAGAACCTATATAGGGACTACTGTGGGGCTTAAGTATCTACTATAAGGGTACATGGAGCCTTTGGGGTTTTTGTTGCTCTAAGGCCGAAGCTGTTCGCTTGGCGAAGGGCCGAGGCCTCCACCAGGAGCGGCCGGCCCTGCAATTTCTTCAGGCCGAAGGGGTTCTGGGGTTTAGGGTTTGGGGTTTAGGGGTTTGGGGGTTTAGGGTTTAGGGGTTTGGGGGTTTAGGGTTTAGGGGTTTAGGGTTTAGGGGTTTAGGGTTTAGGGTTTCAGGCCGGGTCTAAGCCCGAAGCCTTAACCTTTAGGCCCGAAACCCTACACTGTAAACTTTGCGCCCTCAATCCTACTTGGAAGTCAATGGGCAGTTATAAGTGGAGTCATAAGTAGAGCAACTCTAAGTATAACCCATATTAGGGGCTTATAACTCCACTTGTAACTACCCTTGAAACTCCAAGTAACCCTTAACTTGAGGCGCTGAGCCCTGCTAAACTTTAAACTTTAGGCCCAGATCCCTAAACTCTAAACTCCAGGCCCTGAACCCCAAACCCTAAATTTTGGGCCCTCAACCCTGAACCCTAAACTTTAGGCCCTGAGCCCAGAAACCCGCAACGTTATAGAATCTAAGCCTTAACCCGTTCCTGACAGGGCTCTGCAAGGCTCGTATGAGGGTTATATGGTGGTTCTATAAGGGTTCCTAACAGGTTTTTTTGGACAGTTTGACGGGTCAATATAGACAAGCTTATGCAAATCCAAACACAATCCTGAAGAGAGTGATGTTAGGTTATAACATATCTACCCCGTATTGGGGTTCAGGGTGTTCGGGTTTGGGATGTTTAGGCTTTGCGGCCGGGGCTAGGTGCACCCAGGTTTTGGGTTTAGGACCTCAGGAGTTGCCCGCAAGGACAATAGATACGTGCCCTTCAAAGGAAAATCCTAAACCCTATACAAGGGGAACCCTAGAAAGGGTAGGAGGTTGGTTGAAGGGGTTTTGGATGCCCGGCAAGGAGGGCTTAGGGATTCCGGGTTTAACAGGTATTCAGGCGAGGACGGAAGCTTTGGCATGCCTTACTGTTTTTGTGTCCCAGATGGTCCAAAGATACTAGAATTACGGACGTGGGCCCCTGAAACATGGGTTTTGTTTCCTTACACTGCTCACTAGTCAAACCACAAGATATCCCAAGTAGACCCTGTTCTCTTCGTCCGACACACGGATCACCGGCCTCTGCGTCGTCGTGTAAGCCTTGCACACGAAGCGCGTGGAGGGAACACTTCAGTGTGTATACAACCACAGTCTGAGAAGCTGGCCACGCTACAGCCGCGGCCTTGTCGAGAGAGCCCGGGCTCCCTTCACCGACCTTGGCTTGCTTCTTAAGGAACTTAGTCTTATGTTACCCGAGTGAAGAGTTCAACACGGCAGCATTGCAGCCGAGCGGCACACTACTCTGAGTAGGGCACAGCAACAACAGCCTCCTCGCCTTTCGAATCATGGCATCAATGGAGAACATGACAGATACCGGTGTCATGACCGAACCTCTGGCACCGAGGGACGGCCACCTCAATCGGGGCCTGGTGGTCCTGCAGTCGCGGGAGGAGCTTCGGAGGGCTGTGATGCAGGAGGCACCGGAGGCGGCCTACTGCATGGCCAGACTCGATGTCGACGTCGAGTGCTGGGCCGTGCCACGCTTGCATTGTGTCACGTGCTTTGTCTTAAGGGATGCTTCAAGTCAGACTTGTCCACTGCCAAGGCCCATATTACTTACTATAGATCGCTATTACGGCAACATTCAGCTCCGTAACATCAACCCAGGAAACTTACCATAGATGCAGCAATGACACAGCAAGCCCATTCGTTGCTACTCGCTTACAGAATCCGAATAATCTGTCACATCGCCGAGTTTTTTTCAGGCTGGACTTCTAGAGACCGAGAAACGTATACTTGGCCCCCTAAACCCCAAATCCCGACGTAAACCCACAAAAGTTGTTAGACTACTGGCCCAATGCCGAGAAACGGCCATTATTTCGCATACTTTGAGGGTCCGTTAAGCCCTATAGGCCCTAAACTACTAAGACAAGCCTCCTCCACCCTAAACCCTTCTAGATCTTGTTCCCTTCTAGATCCCTTTGTAATTCCTACCCCGACATCTCGGATGTCTGCGACGTGAACCAGACTCAGGGGTGCCCAGGGAGGTCCTTCTTCGGTTACTATAGGCTTAGGGGTACTTAGAAATAACTTTTAATGTTTGGTTATTATAATTCCTCAAAAACAGCTAAAATTATAATTTTTGCTGGGGTTCTAACTTCAGTATAGTAGGGGCAGCGTACCCCAAAACCCGAATTTAACTATCAAGGGCCCCTATACTAGATCTTACCAAGCCCCCATGGGTGTGGAATATGTTTTTTAAAGGGTTCACGGTGTCTGGTGTATGCTTTCGGTTCCGAGGGGTCCCTTCTGCTGTCAGATGGACGCGCGAGTGCTAAATTTCCCCGACGAGTGCTTTGACGTGGTCTTCGACAAGGTGGTTGTGGGGTTCAGGGTTTAGTGGGCAATCCTAAAACCTAAATCCTATAAGCACTAGATCCTAAACCTAACCCCTGAGCCGCGCTGTTGGCCAGTGTACAGAGTTGACAGACCCAACGGATCGCAAGTACATTCTTTGAAAATACTAGGTCTTGCAGTGGGTCCTTTTTCCCTTTATGTGGTCTTAGGTTCCTCAGTAAAGGGAGCCGTCTTTTCCGAGGCTACCGGGGATACTCGAATACTTATACAAACCATGATACTAGTTCCAAATAAGGAAACCTTACTTCCCAGATCCCCGGGAGGATCCAAAAAGGTAAATCCCTTAATGGGGGTTCGTATAAAGTACCCTTAGTAGTATAAGGCCCCAAATTACAGTAGGGGATCTACTTTCTAAATCCTCCCGGGGGTCTGGGTTAGGATCCTTGAGGAATCTGGAGGATGGGAAGCATACCAGTCCTTGAGCGCTCGGAAATGAGAGTCGGTTCTGATATTAACGATCGAAGCTTCTGGGGTAAACTCAAGTTTGTTAGTGAAACTCCCATATGGCACTAGGACCCAGAGTAGGCCCTTATTCCCTTTTTTAGGGTTCAGGTTCCCTTATAAGGCCCTTTAAACCAAAAAGGGCATCCTTTTTATGCCTGGGTTACTCTTGGGTCTAGGGCACTGACCCTGAAACCTAAACTCGTAACCGTAGTCCAAGATGTCATTGCGAATCGCAGGATGGTACAGCTCGGATATGACGGTTCGATACCCTAAGGGTCCATGTACCCAAATGCTATATACTTTGGCTGCACAATACCTATATAGGGACTGCCCCAAGGCCACCGTATATACAATTTCGGTACATGGACCCTTAGTGAACCCCTAAACCCCATAGAACCCCTTAAGGGAACCCTTAAGGTAAACACTACTAGCCCTTAAACGGACCCCAGGGATAGTTTCAGAGACGCAGTTAAACTTGGCAGAGGCATGCTTGACCTAGCCGCTGTAAAGGAGGCACCGAAGCAACCGTCCATGTCGAGTGTGAGAATGCAGGGGCCTTAATGATCAGGATAGGAGTTTCGGGGCTCCTTATTAAAATTATAGTATCGTATACCGCCAAAACCCTATTCTAAGCATTAGGGCCCCTATCTTAGCCCTGAGCCGACAGAACCATAGGGGTTTCTGGATTGTGGGTCCCTTTTGGAGTACTGAGTAGGGTCCTCCGTTCCTGCAAGTCTCAGTCGGAAGCTGATCGGGTTTAGGGCCTGGTTTAGGGGCGCCCGAAACTTAAATTGAGAGGACATGTGTCTTCTTCCTCACAGCTGCACAACAAAGTAGCGCAGTAACACGAAAAGGCAGGATGAGACAAAGGCCATCCCCATCTGGAGTGAAATCCCCGTGGCCCCATGAGCAATGTTCTGTTAGGATACGCCAGGCTCGAAGAAACTGCTCCGACACTTGTGAAATGCCCTCGATTGGAATGTATTTGCAACATTGATGCTTCGCTTCCGCGCAAAAAACGCAGCCTGACACACGGCAGTGCGAGATCAGCTGCCGAACGTGCAAAACCCGATCAGGTTCCGACGGCAGGGTATGGACGGACATTGGCAGGCGCGCGAAAACGCCAAGTGGGGCCGATGTCCACGCTGCCACACCCCCAGGAAACCAGTGGCCCACGCATCTGGCTTGTCGTTTGGCAAGGTTCTTCTCCGATGCTGGCACTGATTTGCCACAGAGCATGGACGCAGAGGCTGCTGGCTGTACGATGCGTATCGTGGTGACGAGGCACTTCTTCCCCAAGGCGTTCGCGGCGAGAGTTGTTTGCAGCTTGGTTTCGTTTAGGGTACCGACGTCTCGAGGCTTTGGCTAGCTGTTACTATAATTCCCTAGCCTAGACCTTACGCCTAAACCCATTGTGGTGCGACCTATCATCCAAGAGAGAAGTCACTGACCCTGCCAATAGGCTCATAGGCTACCTACTTTTCTAGGGTACCCTAAAACAACCAGGTCTGGTATGAATCTCGAGGTGTAGCCTGAAATCAAAACACAAATTGCAAAGAAGCCGCACAAGCAAGTATCTCGTAAAGCTGCCTCCGAAGGGGCAGTACCCCAAAACATCCAAGCAGGTTATTGATGTGCCCCAAATCCCGAAACCCTAAACACATAGACCTTCGGTTGATGATATAAATCCTGCATTACCCTAAGGACCCTAAACTCTGGGAATTATGGTATATTTCTTATTATGGGTCATGCAGGATTTATATCATCAACCGTTACACCCTAAACCTAGACATGGAAACTCTGGAGCCTAAGCGTTCGCAGCCGAATCCGTCCCTGCTTTTTCTGCAGCCAGCACCTCCTAAACCCCTGACTCTCAACCGACAACTACATATTGCTAGTAATATTCCCTTATGGCCTCTATGTAGAAACCATAATCAGTGAGGTGGTATAATACAGCATCCCCCACAAAATCCGACTGATCAATTAACAATTGTGCCTGTGTAGATGCCACATGTGGAAAGAGCACATTGACCAAATGTCTCTACACTACCATAGACTACCTTGACCGACGCGTCTGTAAATTATTATGATAAACCCCAAGCTGAGCCTGCTTTGGTAGGCTTGAGTCATTTCCTGTTAGCTCGTTCTTGGCCAACAACCCTCAAAGCCACACACGCAAGCCTAAGTGTAAGGGGATTCATATTATGATTTAAGCTACATTTTTAATTTACGGGTATTGGGCTCTCTGGGAATGTCTGAGGGCTTAGGGTCCCTTTAATCTAGTAAATGGGCCTGGATAGTTACCAACGCAATTTTTTGGGCTCCTTCTTCTAAGTAGAATGTACGCAAAATCCCTGTTCCAATCATGCAGGCCCTCATATTACGCCGACTGGTTTCTCGTCGCAGGCCACGCTTGACACAATCCTGTGTGCAGCGAATAACAACCAGCAAGCGCAGGCTTTCTGTTGGTCCTTGGGGTTAATTGAAAATTACTATAAGGCTTCTAAAGGGGTTCCTTTAAGGGTTACCCTTGACGGGTTATTTACTGTGAGGTATCTATACGGGTTCTGTACGGATTACTATAAGGCTGCTATAATCCTTCAAGGGTTACTACAAGGTTTCTTTCAGGGTTGTTTCAGGGGTAACTTTAAGGTTTTATATAAGGGTTCCTTGAAGGGCCACTATAACTACTATTTGCTTAAGAAACCCCCAAAAAATAAAAATAATAATCCCTATATTACCCCCATAAGGAATATATTTTTTATTTTTTGGGGGTTCTTAAGCAAATAGTAGATAAGGTTCCTATAAGGTTTTAGAGGAGTTAGTGCATAATGTTGCCCATATAGTGTATACCTGGGCCTCACTCACAGGGCTGCTAATATAATCAGGATACTTTAAGGCCTTTAGTACTTGTAAGGGCTCCGTAAGGGTTCCTTTAAACTTTAAAGGTTCCTTTCGGGGCTCTTTGAGGGGTTCCTTTTAATAAGTAGAGCCTTGGAGTAGGTGACCTCCGAATTTTTTTTTGGGGGGGGGGGGGCGCAGATTGGACCCAACTGCAACAGTTTACAGCCTACCTAGGGAAGGTCCGACAATCCCAAGCCCTGCACCCTTCAAGCCTAATCCTACACCCTAAACCCTTCAGCCCTTATATAAACCCTTAACCTAGACCATGCAAAGGGCAAAACCCAAATTCAGACTCTTAAGGTCTCTACTTGGATCATGGGACTTGGTAAGTAAGGAGTTACAAGTGTAGTTACCTTATTTATAGTGCTAGCCTTGGTTAATAGTTGCTACAAGTCCCATGATCCTTCAAGTACCTGAACCCCCAAAGTATGCAGAATAACGGCCTTTTATAGGTTTTGGGCCATTAGGTGCTCCGAGGGTGCAGGGTATCGGCGGCTTTTGGGCTTGATGGGTCTGGAGTCTGGAGGCCTTTAGGGTTTAGGGTCTAGGGTTTAGGGTTTGGGCTGTGAGTGTCAGCAGTTTCGTGTGTGTCTGTGTGTGTGTGTGTTGAATGTTCGAAGGTTGTTGTTAACCCTAAACTCTAAAGCTTAAACCCCAAAGCCTAAACCCTGAACCTTAGGGCCGTTTAGGGATTCGGCTTTGTCAGAGCCGCGAACTTTCACTAGCATTCGGGCAACTCTCGCATGTGGCAACCATTACAGGCTTGACCCCATAACATCTTCATTCCGGTGTGCCGCTTTGGGGCCCCCGCCGCCACCGCCACCATCTGCCCAGCGGCATGATGCTGATGCTCACGGTGGCGCTGTGGCATCAAGTTCAAGAGCAGCTGCTGGCAGGGAACAGCGTGCTGCGTTGAACGCGGCCGGTGCCAAAGCGAAGCCGAAAGGGTCGAAAAGTGTTGCGAAGGCGACGAGCGCTGCTGCCCCGAACGGTCGAGAGGGCAGAATCGTGGGGACTCGCAGAACGCTCGCGAGGCTGCCCGGTGGAGGGCCGATCACAACAGAATGCTGGCCGTGGAGGAAGCACAGCGCAGAGCAGAACACAGGCTGCAGCAATGCGAGGGCGAGCTGTGGACGCTGGAGATCAACCACGAGCAGCTTGTGACCCAGAACGATCGGCTGACTCAGCAGCTGGCAGAACTGCGGGGTAAGCGATCCGAGGCCGAGGACCGAGCCAAGAGACTGCTGGGCGGAAAGCACAAGCCCCCATCCAAGGCTTTAGCGCTTCGTAGTTTTCGCTGGTGCATTCTCCTCGCCGTGGTCAATTCGCTTGGCGCTTCAAGACAAGCCAGTGGCGGCTGCAATGTGGTCATGGGTAAAGATGACGGAACCACTTACCTGCTCGCCAAGCAAAACTAGTGGTCGGGTCTTTTGGGCGATCAAGATGGCGCTGCCCTTCAAACTGACGGGGCGCGTCAAGACCATGGCGTCGGTGATGAAGCCTGTTCGGCTGATGCGGGAGCTGCTGGCATTGCCAACGAACGCATTGTTTAGGGTGAAAAGGTTCAGGGGGTTTCGGGTTTAAGGGATCACTTTTACGCCATTCTGGAGTCTTTCGAGAAAGCTTGGCGCAGTCCTCTGACTTGTGGGATCCTACCTTGTAGCAAATCTGCAAATTCTGGCAAACATGGGGTCACTCGGTTCGCATGGTTATGCCTGGCTCCTAACTCCCACCAACAAAACCCCATTGAGATCCAAAGCCTAGGTTCTTGAGTAATACCCTAGGTTCTTGAGTAATACCCTTTTTAGTTTGGGGTCCCCCTCATAAAAAATGCATTGTAGTAACAAGGGTACCCTTATGGTAAAGGGCTACCCAGAAACCTACAAGCGGTTTGGGATTCAAGGTCTAGGGAAACCTTAAGCCCGACAGTGAAAAGCTAAACCCATCTTCATGCCGCAACCCTCGTATTGTAAGCTTCCAAAAACCCTCCTCAAGTGCCAACAGCTCTGCATCATAATCCAACAACTGCAAAAATAGCCCTCTGAATCCTGTACCCTCGAATCCAGCAAACCTGCATGATTTACAGATCTGGATCTTTCGTGCACGTGCCCAAACCTTAAGCCACAAATTGAAAAACCCTACTTGTAGGCTCATGGGTAGTTATAAGATAGGTGTTATAAGTCCCCTAATATAGGTCATAGTCGTACTTAGTCTACTTATAACACCACTAATAACGAACTACCCATGAACCTCCAACTAGACCCTAAATCCCGAATCCCTAAACGAACGCTTAGAGGAACCCTTAGATGAAGCATGAAAGGAACCCTAGAGAAACCCTTAAAGGAACACGAATGCAGGCCTACGTCTCCGAAGCGTATCGAGTGCTGAAGCCGGGCGGAGCGCTACCGCCGCACTTTTTGCAGGGTCTCAGCATGTAAGGTGGAAGGTTCGGGATTCAGGTCCCTTTAAGAGTACTTAAAGGGTTCGCTATACTGAGGGTTCGATAAGGGCTTTCGTGTCTAGGTTTTTAGGTGTTGAGGCTCGAACATGTAGGGTTTCATAGCTGTTATTTTTGAGGTGTTTAGGGTTCAGAATTGCAAGTCGAGGGACGTTTTTCTGGCAGACCACCCCCCCTCCCCTACCCCGCAACTGCCTTCTATTGTAAGTTGTTGGTTGCCTGCTATGCGGTGTGCCTGGACGGTTTCGTGCAACATTGTAGACGATGGACGCAAGGTTGTGTGTTTCAGCACATCAGGCATGCCGGTCAGAGATTTATTTCAATCTGAATGGTAGTTTCCGAAAATTGTAGGGTCCTCATGATCATAAACATCCTGTTATGTAGGGTACTGTATTGGGGCCCCCTATTACTCCCAAATGGTTCTAAATCATGAGTTGATGGTTTTTCAAGGCTGCGATCGCCTCAAACGCGGATCAGAAGACCTTCCACCGACGAGATTACTTAATACCAGAATTCCCTTTCCAAAGGCCTTTCCATCCCAAATCTGGGAATCCTTGTGTTTATGTGCCTGCTGGGATCTCTGCTGACAGCTCTTCCTGGTCGTCTCGCACTCCGGGCCCTCCTGCAGACTGCACCACTTGGTGCAGGCTTTTGCTGTTCAGGGTTAGATTATTGGGTTCAGGGTTAGGGTTGTTTTGTGTTGATTGCCGTTCAGGGCCGGTCTGAGTTTCTCTGTTTTGCAGGTTGGGATTCATGCGAGCTGATTTCATGGAAGTGTGTATTTCAGTGAGTCGGCTCTTCGGGGGTTGAGAGTTAGTCAGAATCGTGAGATGTAGAAGGGTTCTTTGCTCTCAGGGTTGTACAACGGGCTACTAGTACTGTACAGGGGTACTGTGGGGGTTTAGAAAAGGGGCATAGAGACCAGAAGGTGTTTGTTGCAGGTGTTACCGGGTTGCTGCTTCAAAACAATCCGCAGGGCTACCGAATCTTGAAGCTGTAGGGTTTCGGGTTTTTGGGCGAAGGTTTCCGTTTTTTTCAAGCACTTAAACGCACCGGATTAGTGGGAAGAAGGCAATCAATGCCCAGTCATACGAATCTCGCCGTTTGAGTCGTCTCTCTTGGAGAAACGAGGGTTCTCCGGTAGCATAGCACCTTTCCGGGGCGACGTCATCGACTCTAATATAGCGGCCTAAATAAGTACCAATACAAGTTTAAGGGCTCTTTTCCTTACTGTAGTTATCGTGTGTAATATACACCAGAATCTTATTCTAAATATTAAGGCCCCTATATTAATGAGGTGTATGGTTCATATCCGACGTAGGGCTTAAATATATGCAAGATCTATGATGCCAGACTTTGATTGATCTTTCGGTCCTTGGGGTTGCATCCTTGGTTCTGTGTTTTGGGATGTTGTTATAAGGGTTTAGGGATGGGAAGATAGCACCGTTATCATGAAGGGGATATTGGCGAACAAAGTCCGGACCCCGTCCTCAAAAGCTAAATCCCTAAACCCTAAACCTTAGAAGGGCCCCCCACCCTGTAATAGTGGTATAATAGGAATATACTAGGACCCTAATATAATCCTTATAGTCACTATTACAGGGTGGGGCAGCTTCTAACCTAGTATCTTCATCCTGAACCCCTACTCAAACTCAGTCCTAAACTCTGAACTCCTAAACTCGCAAACCCAAAACCCTGAATATTGAAACCCTCAAACCAAAAACTAAGTCCCTAAACCCTAATCCGCCCAACATTAGCAGGATCCGCTGCGAAGTTGGCAGATACAGGCCTTGCGTGAATTGTTTTGTATGGAGATCGAACGTTGGGCTTTTCGTTTGGGGGTTCCGGGATGTCCCAAACCCTAAATCAAAAGAAAAATCTTACCTAAACCCGGACCCCCCAATTAGCCTTTAATATACCCTAAATACCCACTAATTATTAAGGATCATAAGGGCTCCATTAAAGGGCCATTGGGGGGTCCTGGAACCCTAGTTCAATCTTGAACCTTAAGCCCTAAAGCCCTACAGCCTTGACACTAGGTTGCAGAGCCAGGCCTTACGCATAGTAGGTAACCTGTAAGTTTCAGGGTTGATATCCTCCTACCATAATTAAAAAGTCAACCTTTTTTGGGCCATGGTACCCAGCACCAAAGTACAAATCGCAGCCCTCAGCCTTAATTCTTAGTTTCCAGGCCTACACGCCGACCCGCTCTTGCCAAGAATCGTTTCAATCAACCCTTGCATTAGGATTTAGGAGCCTAGGGCTCGAAGGTTTAGGTTTACAGGTCTAGAATTTACGGTTCAAGGGTTTAGAATCTAATGATTTATGGTTCAGGGATACCTCGTCGTAGGATCTGAAAAGGGTGTGCTAGAGGAAACTAGGTTATCGTTGACCTTGGACCTTGGCAATACCCTTGGAGCTTGGCAATACTTATACTCTGCGCCTCTACACCTCTGATTGAAATGTCAAGGTGTAATCTGGGCGGTTGTCAAAATTAGGGTCCCTCTTTGGGTCCCATTATAGTACGACACCTGTTATTTAGGGTACCCAAAAAGGGACCCTAATTTTGACAACCACCCAATCTAGAGACTGCAATCGTGCGCTTTTGAAGCTTGGAGCTTGTGGCTGCCGTGCAAAGTGCCTTGTTTTCACAAGGTGGCCATGTGCGAAGCTATGCATAGGCAATCAGTTTCAGCTTGGTTCAGGTAGCCTTTTCAGCTCATCGGCTCGGACCGGTACTTGCTTCGGTGCCTGAAGTACCTAGAGTCGCACCCTTTGCTCCAGAACTTGCTGCATGCTTGCACAGCGGCACTTGTTGTGCATGTGTGGCGTGACAGGAAGTGTCAGTTGTCTGCAAGTTGCTACGCCAAGTTTCCTGCCGGCGGCAGACGAACCCATGCCATAAGATTGTTGAACATTAACTGTCATTAACTGTGCAGGAACTATGACGAGATTGTTATCGTCACTGTCCTAATGATTGAATCACATCTCTCTACGACCAAGCCACCGGACCGATGTCAGTGGAGTAGACTCATGGTTAAGTAGGTCTGTTCCTGACTAGTCGCAAGAAGGACTTGCTTCGGGGTTGATATCGTTTTTGTTTTGCGTACTTTTGGCAGAGAGGGCAAGGATTGAACAGTCGAAGCTCTACAATGACCACTGATCTTTGGCTTGGGGTATGTCCGGTTCAGGGCGTGCAGTTTGCAACTTTCGGGCTGAAGGCGTTCAAGAAAACCCTCAGTAAACTAATGTAGAGTTTAGAAGCTGCCCCCACCCTGTAATAGTGACTATAAGGAATCATATTAGGGCCCTATTATATTCCTGTTATACCACTATTACAGGGTGGGGTCAGCTTCTAATGTAGAGTAGTATGAACTTCCAGGCAGTTAAAGCGCATGCTGCTGTTCAGAAAAGCCCGCAGGCTGAAGCCTGACGCCCAAACTTGAAGCCAAGTTTAGTTTTAGGGTTTAGGGTTTAGGGTTTAGTTTTAGGGTTTAGGGTTTAGGGTTTCGGGTTTAGTTTTAGGGTTTAGGGTTTAATTATAGGGTTTAAAGGGAACTCCAGAAAGTTGGAATATGGTTTCAGGGTAGGATACCTTATAATTTACCAAGGGTTTAGGATTAGGGTTTACTGTTTAGGGTAAAGCATGCAAGTGATTTTTTTGTGCGCGCAGCTACCCATCCCTAAACCTAGACAAACGACATCAAACCCCGTAAAATCTTGAACCTTAAACGGACTAGGACAATAATTACCTATACTGGTTTGGGGTTCCTTATATTTTAATCACCATGATGGGCCCCAAAACCCTATTCTGAGTATTTATTCCCCTATACTAGATCCTTGTACTAACCCTTATATAGTAATCCTCATAGAACCTTTCAAAAGGAACCCTACAAGGAACCCTCTTCTAATTGGGTGGGTGTCAACATTACGGTCCCTTTCTGGGTCCCTATTATAATACGGCACCCGGCACCTATTATTTAGGGTACCCAAACAGGGACCTTAAATTTGACAACCACCCAATTGTTACCCTAAGGGTCCTAACAAATTGGGGAACCTCAAAAGTGAAGGTTTCTGAGACCCCAAAGAGCCCCAAGGACTCTCTCTATGAGATTCCGGACCCTCCTAAGGAGATACCTGGACCCTTAGGGTAAGGCCCTTATAGAACGCTACCGAAAAATGGCCCGCAGCAGGTGGCCCGACTACCTGGGAAGCCTCCGAGTCTGGGCCTCAAGGGTCAGGGCTCCCCTTAGAGGAACCCTCAAACCCTAAACATCTAAGGACTCATATATTAAGGCTTTTGGGCCCAAAGACCATACTATATGAGGCTTTTTGGGCTATTTTGATGCCCAGGGTTAGAGGAACCCTCAAAAGAACCTGGCAAGTGGAACCCTTAAAAGAACTCTAAAGGAGCCCTGAAAGGGGAACCCTTGAAGGAACCCTAAAGGGAGCCCTTACTTAAAGGATCATGGGACGTAGTAACTAGGGTTATACTTAGGGTAACCATACTTATAACTACTTATAAGCACAATTAAGGTACCTTACAACCTTACTTACTAAGTCCCATGATCCTCCAAGTAGACCCTAAACCCGTATGGGTCCCATTCTAGGAACCCTTATAGATCCCTTTTAAACGAACCCTAAACCCTAAGGCTCACTTACTTAATAAGTCCCATGATCCTCCAAGTAAAGGACCACTTAGGGCTTCGGGCTCTCAGATCTCGGGTTTATCAAACGGGGAAAAGGAGGGACCCTTTGGCTCCAAGGGTTCCTTTAAAGGGATCTATAAGGGTCCCTTTAAAGGGATCTATGGGGTTTAGGGTTTAGGGTTTAGTTTAGTAGGGGAAAAGGAGGGACCCTTAATGGGGACCCCTACCCTATAATAGGCTATGTAATGGGTATATCATAGCTATATTAAGGGTAGATACCTAGGGGTCCTTATTAATTGTCCCTCCTTTTACCCTTGGAGAACGGTTTAGGATTTGGTGTTTAGGATCGACCCAGGGTTGAGGGTTTAAGGGTTCATGAAGGGGCCTTAATAGGTGCCTATACTTTTTTTGGGGGAGGGCTCCGTAGTATAATAATTATAGTACAATACACGCCCCCAAAAGCACATTCTAATTGTTAAGGCCCCTACAGTAGGTTTTAGCGTATAGCAAGAAAACGTTCCCATCAAGCGTTTGGAGGCTGTTGGGGTTTTGTTGCGTTGTACTAAGTGTGGAGTTGACTTGGGGTGGTCCTTCGGAGTTTTGAGGGCTTGGGATTTCGGTTTGATCAAGGGTCCAATATGTGTCATAGGAGCCTTAATGCCCGAAACCCCGCCCAAGCCCAAACCCTAAACCCTATAGGATAGTACAACTTAACTTACAAGAGCAAATCATCGTGTACTTTCCGCACCTTCACCAGGTCCAGTCGTCGAGGTCGAAGAGGGCATGGAGGCAATGTTTCAGCCGTTGTGGTATTGGCTCTAGTAGTTTAAACCTAAACCCTTAAACCCCTAGACCCCTCCCTAAACCCGAAGTCTAAGAAATGGATTCCTACACCTTGTTCTGGGCGGAGGAAGCTTGCTTTGCAACAAAGCGTTTAGAGGTAAACACTAGTATGACGCTTACCGTAATGGCTACTATAGACATACTGCAAGGGTTCTCCAACAGATACTGGGCTAAGCTAAGGGTTAATGACTGTTTCAAGCTTACTGTGCAGGTTCACTCATCCCTAGACAAGCCCAAATCGGCATGAGGAGGAATTTCACAACACCTTCATGCATGCATATACACATCTCATCGCGACTTGAGCACCCTGATAAGAACAAAATCCCACATCCTAAAACCCTCAAGCCCTGTTCCAAATGCTTGAAAAGCACGACAGTATGATCCTTTGGGCAACCCTAACCCCCCCCCCCCTTATAGATCCCGTTAAGGACCCCTTGAAGGAACCCTAGTTACAAAGTCCCATGAACCTTGAGGTAGTCAGCGGTTCTGCTATAAGGGTCGAATTTAAGGGTTCGATTGCAAGAGTTCACCCAAGTGCTCTGGCTTAATAGTTCCTTAAGGGTTCCGTTTCAAGGGGCTCTTTAAGGGTTCTGTTCGTTATTGTCGAGCTTACGCTAGAGTCGCTAGAGAGTGTATGTCCTCCGGAATCATGATCTTGTTGACCACCAGCGGCCTCACATGAACAGCCCTGGAATGTGCACGTAGAAACTTTTTAAAGAAGAAACATCTGGCGAGTGGGATGCATGCTGGATCCCTCATAGACACAGTGGGCCCCACCCCGTAAGCCATGTCAACAGGATGTCCGGCAAGGAGGGAAGCGACCGGCCTTCATCGTCGGCGGCTGGTACCCAGATGACGAAGCTCAGGTGACCCTCGAGAAAGCCCGCACGCTGCCCCGTGAACTACAAGTTGACCCGGACCTTGATGACGGCTGCTTAAAGGATCATGGGACGTAGTAACTATAGGGTTATAATGAGGGTAACCATACCCATAACGTACCTTATAACCTTACTTACTAAGTCCCATGATCCTCTCAGTAGACCCTAAACCCGTATGGATCCCATTCTAGGAATCCTTATAGATCCCTTTTAACGGAACCCTAAACCCTAAGGCTCACTTACGAAGTCCCATGATCCTCCAAGTGGGCTGTCCAGCGTGCCTCGCCGTCTCCGTTTGAGCGGCGCATCGACTTTCAAAGAGGCCTGGTGACCCCAAAGGGTCCTCTGTACCGACATAGTAGAATGTAAGGTTTCCATATTGAATTACTATTATGACTTAGGGAAGTATCCCCGTAACAGTACCTAGGACCCTTTGATGACGCCTTTGTTGCGGGGCTGGGACGGGGCTTCGATTGAAGCAAGCTCAGCGGCCATGACCTTCTGGCTGCGCTGTGGAAGACTGGAAGTTTCCGTCATAGTCCCATCCATGGCTTCCAGACCGGGCGAGGGCACCGACGCCATGCAGCGCCGCATCCAGCTAGCAGTGACCATAATACGCAGAAGGCCAAAGTTTTTAGCTTCAGAACCCCCTAAACCCCAAGGGTCCAAAGGACCCCATAGTTAGATACTCGGCTTTAGGATAGCAGTTATGTAGGTTATAAGGTTTTGAGGAGTGTATGATTATTAGGTACTTGGACCCTGGGGGAAACTTTGCATCCCTATCTACGCACCAAACCCAAGATCGGATCACCCAGCTTGAAAGGTTTGAACCCTCAACCCATTAACAAGTTTCTGGTTAGATTTTCGGGTTTAGGGCTATGATGGGCTATGAGCTTAAAAACCGACGGTGACCACCGGGCCTCAAAGCCCGAAATCGAATCCCTTGGCGTGACAGTCTCGAACCCAGCCCTACAGCCCTAAACCCTGTAGATCCCTTATAGAATCCTGACTTATGAATCCTTGAGCCAATCCCTAGAACCTGAAGCCCTAGAGCCCTAGACCCTATAGATCCCTTTTTGAACCCTTACTTATCAATCCCTGAGCCAAAGTCTAAACCTGAAGCTCTAGAGCCCTAGACCCTATAGATCCCTTTTTGAACCCTTATTTATCAATCCCTGAGCCAAACCCTAGAACCTGAAGCCCTAGAGCCCTAGACCCTATAGATCCCTTTTTGAACCCTTACTTATCAATCCCTGAGCCAAACCCTAGAACCTGAAGCCCTAGAGCCCTAGACCCTATAGATCCCTTTTTGAACCCTTACTTATCAATCCCTGAGCCAAACCCTATAGAACCTGAAGCTCTAGAGCCCTAGACCCTATAGATCCCTTTTTGAACCCTTATTTATCAATCCCTGAGCCAAACCCTAGAACCTGAAGCCCTAGAGCCCTAGACCCTATAGATCCCTTTTTGAACCCTTACTTATCAATCCCTGAGCCAAACCCTAGAACCTGAAGCCCTAGAGCCCTAGACCCGAAAGATCCCTTTTTGAACCCTTACTTATCAATCCCTGAGCCAAACCCTAGAACCTGAAGCCCTAGAGCCCTAGACCCTATAGATCCCTTTTTGAACCCTTATTTATCAATCCCTGAGCCAAACCCTAGAACCTGAAGCCCTAGAGCCCTAGACCCTATAGATCCCTTTTTGAACCCTTACTTATCAATCCCTGAGCCAAACCCTAGAACCTGAAGCCCTAGAGCCCTAGACCCTATAGATCCCTTTTTGAACCCTTACTTATCAATCCCTGAGCCAAACCCCAGAACCTGAAGCCCTAGAGCCCTAGACCCTATAGATCCCTTTTTGAACCCTTACTTATCAATCCCTGAGCCAAACCCCATGACCCTACCCTAAGGCCCTAAGGCTCCTGGACCCTCGTAGTGAGGTCCTAAACCCTACCCGGCAAAGCCGAAACCCTCCCCTAGAAGGCCCAAGACCTTCTTAGGAGCCTTAAAATCTGAAGCCCTAAAGCCCTAAACCCTATAGATCCCTTATAGAACCCTTACTTTTGAATCCCTGAGCCACCTAAACCCTAAGCCCTAAAATCCTACCCTTAAAAGTCGAGCCTGGAAGGAAGCACCGCCAGAAGATGCCAGGCTCAACATACGACCTGTAACCTGCGGGGTTTCGAATCGGATTTCGATTTTTTGGGGTTAGCTTCTAGAGAACGTACGACTTGTAGTAGAGTTTCGAATCGGATGTCGGGTGTAGGGTTTAGTTCTTGGAGTCCTAGTGTTTATGACTACGTAGTGTTTGGGCATGTGGCTTCGGGTGTCGGGTCCTGAGCTTCGAACTTAGTTTGCAGCTGATGTTTCGGAATAGGGCCTGGGTTTTGGAGTTTAGGGTTTCCAAGGGTGAAAGGAGGGACATATACCCTTAATGTAGCTATTCTATACCCATTATATAGCCCATTATAGGGTAGGGTTCCCCATTAAGGGTCCCTCCTTTTCCCCTTTGAGGGTTGGGAGCTTTGGGTTTAGGATTTTGGGCCTCGTTTCAAGATGTTTTCCTGAGGTCAATCGAGGAACTCCTGGTATGTTCTTTGTTAAGGCTCGGGGATGGTTCCAGAGTGACCTCAGGTTTAGGGTGAATATCAAGTGTGGCGTCATTGACTCATTGATGTTTGGGGTTTCAGGACGCCATGGCACTATCATAGGACTTTTGCACATGTCTGATTCGGTGGAAGGTCTAGCCCGAAATCCGAAACCTGAATCCTTCCTTACCGTTCACTCCAATCGCCATGCCCTAGAAGAACAATTATGTGGCCCAACACTCCCCAGCTGTTCCAAAATATGGTATCCCCAGCAGTAGGTCCTGTATTTAGATGGCCGCCCCGGCCTCAACGCTAGAACCCAAATGCAGGGTCGGAATATCGCTTCAATGCGCTATCCCGATACATACCACGAAATCCTATGCTGGTTCCTCAGGCCCCTGTGATAGATCCCCAGATAGAAGCCCCTAAACCCTGAAGATTCCCCAAGTCTTCCCTTGCCCAGAGATGGACGCCGGTGCCGAAGACCCTTGAACCCTCAGCCGTTGCCCTGATTGTGGAAGGCTTTTTCCGTTTTCCGAAATCCCTAAACGAATAAAACCCTGAACTTAGCCCTGAACTCCTAAACCCTAAACCGTTGTAAGCTAGTAATCTGAGGAGTATATCCTTTGTAGGAACCTTCGTGGATCTCCTATAGATTACGCCAAGGAGCCCTAGTGATCCTTGCCAGAACGCTTATTGATCCCTTATAGAGCCCTTGTGAATCTTGAGCATCCCATCGCCCTAAACCTGATCCCTAAACCCTGAACTCGAATCCCAAACCCTAGACTCGAGACCCCTGTACCCTAAACCCCGAACCCTAAGCCCTAAACCCTTAACCGCTCAAGCTCTACAACGTAAGGGTTATCCGAAGTCTCGTCGCCGTCTCTGCTGAGCTCTGCCTCATGTCGTCGTTCGAAGCAATGTTAGGGAGTGAACTGTTCGCAGTGCAACAAACATGATGGAGCTTGAGGTTGAAGAGATGACCGTCCCAGTTGTTTGCCGCGTTACAACCAGGAGCCTTGATCAATTTCCCTCACGAGAGATCCAGAAGAATGCTTCGTCTTTTTCGTTTGAATCAAGCTTTGAGACGCTATCGAAGGCTTCTCTGCTGCCAGGGTCAATTATTTCCGGAGACCCCGCAGTTGCGAGGCTCGCGACAAAGGGGCGTGGTGACAATACCTCCGGCTGCTTATCCAATTCTGAAGGAGAGACTTGGAGAGCAAACCCTTGTCGGGATGATCCAGACAGGAATTGCGGATCAGTTGAATAACGACCTCAACTTGGATTGCAGGTTCGAGAGCAGCGCTGCAGACCGGTTTTCGCTTTCACGGTCGTTTTATCACAGACCCGAACTGCAAAGCGGAAGTCGTCACGAGCGAGTGACACTTCATCCCTATGCTGAGTCGACGTTGAAAGTTGGCATTCCCGAGCATTACCGACACAACCTTAAAGCCGAAAACCGAAACCTGAAACCCCAAGCCCTGAAGCCTAAAGCCTGGGCAGTCGCTGCTTCTGGATCTTTGCGTGCACGAAGCCCGGGGGCCACGCTGAGGAGGATCCTCAGGGTTCAGGGCTATGGGCTTTCGATTACAATAGGGTTAAGGGCTTTTGGGGTTAGGGGTTTAGGATTTAGGCTTCAGGGCTTAATAAGGGCTCAGGTCTCAGGGTTGAAACAGGGTTTCGGGCTTAGGGTTTACGGCTTGGTTCAATTAGGGTTTCGCGCCTAAGGTTTACGGTTTCGGGCTTCCTCTCAGGGTCCAAGTATTTAATCAAATGTCACATGACCTCCCACATACCAGCCACATAACGACTATCCAACTTCCGTGCCCAGCTATCGGGCCCTTTGAACCATAGGGCACTACGGGGATCGGAATAACGTCTCTGGTCTGGGGTATCCTAAACCCCATTCCCCAGACCCTAAACCCTGAACCCTAAACGAGTCACCCCAAAATCGTAAGCCCGACATCCCTAAACCACCGGCGAGTGTGAATAGGGTCGTTCAACAAAAACCCTAAACCCTTACATTATAGTGTTTGCTGGCTTTCTTGGCTGAAGATCAAGACTCCGGGTTCAATAGGTTTAGTAGGTTTTGGTCTAGTGCGCAAAAGCCTCAACCCCAGAAGTAAGTTACATACGTTGAGGATTGTTATATTCAGAAATCATAACCAGGAGCCCGAAACATGTGACATAGGGGCCTTAATCATAATAAAGAGCTGGGGTATGTTGTTTATTGTACTATAACTAGAGTAAGGAACAGTCAAGACCCTATTCGATGTATTAAGGACACTATACCCTAAACCCCTTATAATCCGTAAAGGAACCTTTTAGAGGGAAACACTGGGTTTGCTCGGGCCCAGGTCCGGTTTCGGGTCTTGCGGGTCTTTGTCCGGTGATCTGCCGTCGGATCCTCACTTCGTTGGGGCGACAACTAAAGTTGCAGGACCTATAGTCTCCTTCCCTGGGCATCAAAATGGCCCAAAAGCCTGATATAGTATGGTCTTCGGGCCCAAAAGCCTTAGTGTATGAGTCCGTTGATGCCTAGGGCTTAGGGAATATTTTTCAGTTTTGTTTATTTAAAAAGCCAAGAGAACATGTAAAATGATAGTTTAATATGGTTCTAAGGTGAGCTGTAGCCGTGGCCCAAAGGCCTACAGAGTAGTGGTGTGTGTGTGTGTGTGTGTGTGTGTGTGTGTGCGGTGGCAATGCCTCACTCTGTCTAGACATGCTAAATTTCCATGCCGAAGCAGCAAGGCGATTCCCCAACAGTCGCTCCGACGGAAGTGGATGGTGTCATTCCATCGGAGGCGGAGAGGAGGAGGAAGAGAAGCAGGAGGATGAAGACGAAGCTCCAGCTGCACCCGGGCCAGGGACCAACCCACCATTGGGTTTATCCGTGCGCAGTGCCGTTACAGAAGCTTGTGCTGCATTGGGGACATCGAAGGAGGAACTCTGGGCCAAATGCATGTATGTACGTGCATATGTATATTATATATATATATATATATATATATATATATAGATAGATAGATAGATATATAGACCTGTAGCCATGGCCTAGAGGCCTAGATGGTTGTGGGTATATGGTATGGCATGCCATGGCATATGGCATGGATGGTATGTGTGTATATGTAGAGGGACTATTGCCCCAAACTTTAACCGATATCGAAGCCACAAAGACGCCACACTCTTAACTTTTAGCCATCTTTTCAAGAATAGATTCTCGACGATGGGCCAAAAATCTTCGATCGCCATCATTAGCACTGAACTATCGACAAGTATCCCAAGCGGAGCTGCAAGTAATTCACGGCTGTCACAAATGGGGTTGATGGTCCAGGGTTTAGGACTTTAGGGATTCGGGTGCCGGGTTTACCTGAGGGTAGTCCTATGCCATCAATGCTGATTGACCAAGTGTCCTCAGTGTACGCTAAACGCACGACACTTGTACAGTGTAGCTCCACAACCAAAAGCAAACTTTACATCCCTTAACCCTAACCCTCAAATATATTAGATCCCAAACAGGACAGAACTGCTTAGACGTTCAAGTATTAAGGTTCAAGGTAAAAAGCCTCTGCTTATAACTTTTGAAGTTAAGAAACCCTAATGTATACGCGGCTGTCTCGAAAGGTGCCTCGTGAAATACCCACATAATCCCCTTCGAAGCCTTTATGGACAGCTGAAACATTCTCAAATGAACTTAAGGAAAGCGCCTATACTTCCTTAACACCCTGAACCCGAAATCGAAACCCCAGCAAATCCGGAAGTGTGCTCGAAAGCAATCCTGAAGTGCGCTTGACTTGCCGAGCCGTGCGTGAGGACGCTGGTGCTTCCGAGCCCGTCGCCGAACCGCAGCAAGCTTTGGCCGAGGTTCGGGGTTCAAAGGTTCCAGGGTTTACCTTACAAAGCCTAATTACTTTGTTAGGTGTCCTTACTACGATTTTCTTTTATAATACGTCCTGGTAAAGGTCCATGTAAGGTTCAGGGTTTAGGGGTTTCGGGGTTCAAGTGGGGATTCTGGGGACGTAAAACTTATGTAGGGGCTTAGCTATTTAGGGTTTCGGGCTGTGGAAAGGCTGTAGTGTCGCCGTGTTGCACAAAGACAAGAAATGGCGCTATACAAGAGCGTCTTCCAGGGGTAATTATAAACGGGTACTACAAAGGTTTGCAGGTTTTCCAGAGTTGTGTGTTCTCTTTATTGATGAACGTTGCGAGTTTTGTTTGAATTCGCATGATTCGGTTGGAGCTTTTACAGCGCCGTCTAGGGTTTTATGGCAGTTGCAAGCCGTAAGCCGTAAACCCCACGGTTCGGAGTTGGGCGGACTACATCCTCCTTACCTCTTCCGTGTGGACGTGGTTCAGGGTTTAGGTGGTGTGCTGCCTGACATGTTTTCGAGATGCTGGCCTTGTCTTAAACGTTGAGTACCCTGGAAAGCGAGGACTAGTCCACAATGGCGACTCTGCAAGGGTTGTGAGATGCTATAATCACAACCCGAATGGTGGTCCATGTTGGCTTTGTCGCGGTCTTTTTATTTGGGGGGAGCTGCGACCCGTTTGCTTCACTAGGATCCTGGATGGTTGCGCTCCCGTTTTGCAAGACCTGAAACCGTGCACCATATCCCTAAGTCTCCATGTACCTTCTATTGTTTACACCTGTAAGCCTTGAATTACCTATACAGGAACCGCTTTTAAAAGGCCTATATAAGTCTATACAGTAGAAGCCAGAAAGTTGGAATACCATTATCGTAACCCCTTTAAGGTAAATTATAGGGGATCCTACCATTAATCCATACTCCAACTTTCTGGAGTTCCCTTTACCGTGTGGGCGAGTGGAGCCTTAGGGTATGAGCCGTATTAACACGGGCGCCTCTCGCTGTGCTCATCGAAGGCTTCCGAAGCGGCTCCGCCGCTGACCACGGAGCATCGCCGCGGGTTCTTGTAGTGGATCGTTTATCCAAGCCCCTACAAGGATCTAGAATATGAAGCCACAGAAAAAAGCTGTACATGAAGCCGTTCACGTACCCTCATGCACTGCATGCACTTTCTGGAGGGTTTCTGTGTTCAACAACACACAAATCTCTCAACTCATGAAGTATACATAGTAGTATGGTACATATCCCCTTCCAGTCACGTCCTTTGCTTGTTATAATAGAAGTACTCCTTAGCTAGTGAACGGGGGAACTTTAAACTTTTTGGCTTCATAAAAAACTCTATCTTAGACAGTTTGAACTTTTCGGAGCCCGGTGGTTGAAGAAGAGAGACTCCAAGATATGATTGTATCAGGCCCTCTGGACTCCAAATTTCTTTCATAGCCTTGCGCAGGAACCTTCAAAATGAACCCGTCTAAAACCGGTTGAGTTACATTTTTGGATCCTTCCCTAAACGTTCTACACCCCAAAACCCTACACTCCGAACCCTAAACCCTAAACCCTAATTCACCAAATCCTAAACCCTAAAACACCAAAACCCCAAAGCGTTTGGTGGTCGCTGGGAACCTCCGGAGCTTCCCGCTTCGCCGAAAAAAGCGTGCCAAAGCTGCACGCCTAGGGAAGTCTATGGCCCGTTTGGGTTTAGGGCTTAGGGTTTAGGGTTTGTTAATTTGGCTTGCTTGGGAGGTGAGTTTTAGGAGGGCATAGGATTAGAGGACTAGCAATCAAATCTCCTCCTAGTCCTTATTCCGTTGCGGTACCACAAGCCCCTGACAATCAACTGCTTTGAGAGCAGGTTCTTGTTTTCCAACTTATAGGGTTGGAGGTTTAGTTCAGAGTTTGGGGTATTTTGGTGTAGTAGGAGTCTACAGTGGCGAAATCAAGAGGGCCCAAAGCCAGACTTCCCCCTGTACATGATAGCAGCATGTAGTTGCAAGTGATGCGTGCACGAAAGATGGGTGTGTGAGGGTTCCTTTAAGGTTTACGGTAAACCCCATAAAGTTGGAAACCGGACTAAGGCCAAATAGTGCTGGGATTTCGTATAAATTGCTCTTCAGGATCGAGGCTGTTGGGTTTCCAACTTTTGGGCTTCTACTGTAGGGTGTAGGTCTTCTTATCCTGCTTGTGCGCGGGTCTCAAGTCAGAGTTCGAATAGATGTAGCCGACGTAGCCACAGCAGCTACAAGGGTCAGTATAAGGCCTAGATATTACAAGGGTTGCTATACGTTGCTCTAGGGTAGTGGTAGGGCTCATGGGTAGAGGTTCGGTAACTAGAGAAGGATTTGTGTAACTCGAGGGGAGAAGGGCGCTGATGATGGCAACAGGATTGCTGGAGGCCCATGCTACAACGTGACCTCAGACAGCGGCTGTAGAACTGAGAACTGGTTGGGTATGGAAGTTTACGGAACAGTTCATGTCTTCATGGGACACCTTTGTCAGGGCCCCGAGGAGGTTACTGTAGTAGTGTTATGCAGAATAAGAGGTAGTGTAAATGAGTCTTAAGTAGGTAAGTGTAGTTGCTCCAGGTGTAGCTGTCTTGCTTGGTCCGTTGAGCTGTTAAGGCTCAGACATCTGTACTGTTGCAGCAGAATTACTGCAGAGGTTACACCCGTCCTTTCGCCTGGGCTGTGCAGCCGCGACGGGGGGCGGCTTCGGGGCTTGCGGCTTTTCATCCCCGTGCTCGTAGGAACACGGTTTTCCCACTTGCAGAAGCTTATCAACTAGCACGACACATCTCGCTCCCCGATGAATATTGCTGAGCTTGGAAACTCTGCGCTTTACACTCTTCAGGCTTGCAAGTCGCGTTTCATGCAGATACATCCACCCGAAACTGCAACTCTAAACCTTACCTAGACCCCCCAAAAGTAGGCAAAATAATGGCCCAAAACCAATAAAAGGCTACAGTAATATTCTACATGCTTTCGGGGCCCAGGTAAACCTTCCATGAACTGACGAGGCCCCGAGTCTGCCTGTCAGAAGCTGTGATCCCTGAGCCTCAACCCTGCGGTTGAACGTTTTCTGTGGACTTCCCTGTTGGATCGTAGGTTCGGAGCCCAAATCCCCCTAAAACCCCCCTTCTCTGCTTGTAGAGCCATATAGAGCCCCTCTACATCGCGAAAGAAGGCCTGGTACCAGCCTTTGAAGAGGGATCCACAAACCCCAAGCCGTTCGAAAAGCTTTTCTAGTAGACGCCCTAAACCCTAGACCTGTAGACCCTTAACCCTGATAGATCCCTCTAAAGGAACCCTTATATACCTAGACCCCCCAAAGTAGGTAAGATAATGGCCCAAAGCCTATAAAAGGCAATTATACTACATGCTTTTGGGGTCCGGTAACCCTGATAGATCCCTTTAAAGGAACCCTATAGATCCCTTTAAAAGAGCCGTAAACCCCTAAACCCTAAGCCCCTAAACCCCTACTATAGATCCCTTATAGAGCCCGTGAACCCTTATATATATATATATATATATATATATATAGTTCCCTTTAGAGGGACCTTTTCGCTGTTCCCCGTCGCAGCACCTGGGCCGCCGGAATCTCAGCGTGGGCGGCCACGTCTACGACGCCGGGACCCCCGGCGGTGGCGTTGGGCTTGAACATAAGGTTTAGGGTTTAGGGTAGAGTGGCCTATAATAGCTATATTAAGGGTATATACCTAGGGGTATCGGAGGCCTCAAAGGTAGGTAGGATGAAGGATCCCTTATTTAAGGGCTCTTAATTGGGAATATCCCACCTACCTTCATCCCACCTTTGGAGCCCTGTGGCGTTCTTGGAGGGGCCGGGGACTAAGTAAGTCGTTTATAAGTAGGGTTGCCCCTCCAAGTTGGGCTTGAACATAAGGTTTAGGGTTAGGGCTTACCGGGTCTGTCTTCCGGGTTTTAGTTAGTGTTTTCGGGTGAAAGGGGTGGTCTGTAATGCACCGTTTTGCCCTCCACCCCCTCTCTTTCATCATCCTGTACCCTGAGTGGTGCTCCGCAGATGCCGACCCCCCCAAGGGTACAAATGAGCGCAGTAACAATGCATTTGTACTTTCGGTCGTCACGCTTACTCATGGCGGTAGCAGTCTGGGCGAAGTGGCAGGTACTATGCCCTAACGTCCACGCATTCGGATGCTCGCCGAAGCGAGTCCGGCCGACGCTAATCAAGGAATGGGCACTGAGCTTGGCCGAGGTGCACAACCGGGGACCGTGGCGCGGCGCAAGCCCTCCGCGTGCACTGACACCTTGCTGTCGCCTGAAAACCGCGATTTGAAGCAGGGCTATGGCGAGACCAAACTACTGGGCTGCGGGCTCGCCTGCTTTCGCAGGCAGCTCATGTCGCGCGACGCCGGAGTTGAAGATGCAGCTGCATCCAATTCGATCGAGGACCGCGGAAGCTAGATCCAGGTGCACGCTGCGCGTTAGTACACTAGTCGTAGTAGTGCTACCAGTAGCACAGTAGCAGCACAGCAATACATTAAAGTAATATCTGGTGTTGCCCAGTGTTCGAAGCTTTTCTTGATAGTATCAGGTTGTTGCAGGTAGGTCTGTAAAAGGTTGTTGCAAGTTTCTACAGCAAAACCTTCATTGTTGGAAACTGGACGTTTTCACCTTGGTTTTGGGACATGAGGACAAGTACTTCGAAGCTTATTAGGGAGGTTGCATTTACATAGCCTCGCGACTAGATTGAAATCGTATCGCGTGTTCCTCGAAAGATGAGAATACTGCATACTGCATAGATACTCCCCAATACACTCGACCCAAAACCCCAAAACCCTAAACTGTAATCCCGAGACCCTATACTCTAATCCCAAAACCGGAGCCTGCTAAGGAAGGCCCCATGGGGCGTAGAGGGTTCCTTCATTCATACATGGTACGGCACCCTCATAAACAGGAGCCTAAAGGTACTTGGAGGAATCATGGGACTTAGTGGATCAAAGGGTTATCTGGAGGGGTTCCTTTAACGGGCTCCGTAAGGGATTTACAAGGGGCTTTAGGGGATTATGAGAGGATCATGAGGCTTGGTAAGTTATGTTACAAGTTATAGGTCCCTTATTTGGGGTTATAAATAATGATATGTATAGATACCGTAGTTAAAGCGACATGTTACTAAGTCCCATGATCCTTCAATTAGCCCCCTAAACTTCTTACGGCCGTATCCTCAGCCCGAAGCCCCTAAGCCAAGGCCCGTAACACCCTGAAAGACCTGAAGGGCTTCCGTCTACATAAGTCCCTTAACAACCCTGTGGCTACACCCTTGCGCGGTTTCGACGTAGGGGCTCAGATATTTCGTAGTACTACTGTTAAACTTTAGAAGCACCAGTATTTTCGTGGTTATTGTTACTCCTATTGGTGTTGTTGTGTTTACGAGTAAAAGCATTGTAATCATTATTCTGCTTATCGTTATCGGCAATAGTATTGTTATCAATATGTGTGCTAATGGTGTAAATATGTTGTTAAAACAACTATTGTGATTACGGCTATGTTTTGTAGGGGCACTTGCCAGAAATGCGGCGGGAAGGAAAAGCAGCAATGCTGTAGGACCACCACGCGAAGGCCCCACAAACCCTAAACTCACCCTGGCCTTGCACGCTCATACCCTTTCAAGCCAGATGCTGTCCTTCAGGATACTGCCCCATACTGCCCCAACCCAGTAACAGTTGATTTATGCTTGAAGTATAGATCTATTGGCCACTTGATGGTAGCCCTTGTATAGACCATAACTGTATGGGAGCAGTACCCAAACATAATGTCGAACCCCGGAACTGGATGATTGGCAACACTATTCCTTAGGACTCCGTGATACAGCTATACTACAACTTACGCCCCCAAAAGCCTACTCTTATGATTAAGGCACCTATATTGTGTTAGGGATCCTACTAACTTCCAGAAGCCAAAGCCAAAAGCCGTGAGATTTGAACCCTAAGCCTAAAGCCACACCACCATAACACCTCAGCCCGGAATCCGAAACCAAAACCCAACCTGAACCCTAAACCGTCCTACATGCCAAACCCTAAACCGTCCTAAACCCTAAA